ACCTCCACATCAGCGTGTTTCTGTAGTAGACCCATGGTGGCCCCTGCAAGCAAAGGTTTGTAAATGCAAGGGTATTTCTAAATGCAAGGGTAGCTCTATTTTTTCTGGTATTTGCTATCCCACGGGGAAATGCAAGTCCTTTGGTCCAAGAGCAAGGAAGCCTTGACAAAGTGGCTTTCTGGCTACACTGTGAAAATGTCTTTCTTCTCACACAAGTTGTATTGAAGCCTTTGACATAGTCCCCACATCATCCCTCTCTCTAAATTTGAGAGATATGGATTTGATAGGTGAACAATTCAGTGGATAAGGAGTTGGCTGGACGGTCACATCTGGAGGGTAGTGGTGAATTTTTTGACCAACATCTGTACAAGAATTGCTCTTCAGCATTCTGTAGTAGCACGAGTATTGTTTAATGTCTTCGTCAAAGACATGGATAGCGGGATCAAGTGCACCCTCAGCAAGGATGCAAATGGCACCGAGCTGAGTGGTGCAGTTGGCACACTTGAGGGACAGGGTGCCATCCAGAGGGACCTGGACAAGTTTGAGAAGTAGAGCATTGGGAATCTCATAAGGTTTAACAAGGCCAAGCACAAGGCCTTACACCTGGGTCAGAGCAAGCCCCAGTATCAAAGCAGGCTGGGTGATGAGCAAATCAAGAGCAGCCCTGCAAAAAAAGGACTTGGGAGTGCTGGTGGATGAGAGGCTGCCTGGGGCAGCCCAGAAAAACAGTTGTGTCCTGGGCTGCATCCAAAGCAGCATGGCCAGCAGGGTCAAGGAGGGGATTCTGCCCTTCTGCTCTGCTCTCTTGAGAGCCCACCTGGAGTCTTGCATCCAGCTCTGCGGGTCACCAGGACAGAGGAGGGCCACAAAGATGACCAGTAGGTTGGAGCACCTCTCCTGTGAGCACCTAAAGGTTGAGAGAGTTGTTATTCAGCCTGAAGAAGAGAAGGCTCCAGAAAGACCCTCAACAGTCTGCCATACCTGAAGGTGCCTATAGGAAAGATGGGGACAGACATTTTATCACAACCTTTTGTGATGGGAAAAACGGCAGCGATTTTTAGACTGAAGGAAATTGATCTATATAAGACATAAGGAAGAAGTTTTTTAGAGTGAGAGGGGTAAAATACTGGCAAAGGTTGCCAGAGAGATGGTTGATTCCTAAGCTCAGGAAACACTCAAAAGTCAGGTTGGACAGGACTCTGACCAGGTTTACTTCAAGATGTCCCTCTTATTGCAGGGATGTTGTACCAGATGACTTAAAGATCCCTTCCAAACAAAATTATTCTATGATTTTATGATTTTGTGATTCTTCTCTATGATGTACATGGGAAAAACAGGTATGTTATCATGGGAAAACTCTTCCGCCTGGTGTTTCTCCACAGGTAGGCAGTGGCCACGAAGAAGAGGTTTTCTACCATGCTGGCCAATACATCTCTCTCATTTACTGGTCCTGCACTTTCATTTACACAGCATCTCTTATTTAATAAAGGAATTGTTACTTGGACAGGATAGGAGAGTAGTGCTGGAGTTTGCTTATAGGACCTTATTGTTTAATTTTGCTCTCAGGCTGAAAATATTGGACATTGCTGATGTGCTAAGAGTGGTCTGGATGCTGATGTGTTTCTCAGAAGTTTTTCATTCTGTAGCATTCCCAGAGGTATTGAATTTTACTGTATCAGAGCTTTCTAAGTATAGAATTATTATCATGTTAGATTGCAGGAATCCAAAAAGAGCTGGTCAAAAAAATGAACAATAGCTTTAGGAATAACAGAAATCTGTCTGTGTTGCAGGAAGCAATGGCATTTGTCTCCTATTTGCTTTTCTCTCCTGTGGTACCAAAGGTGCTCCTTCGCAAGAGACAAAGAACTAGAGGTGAATACTGATGGTGCAGGGAGAATGCTTCAAGGAAAAAATGTTTTAATATGAAAGTGGCAGCTCTGAATCTTAAATCTACCAAAGCAGGTCTTAAATTCTAGTGGGATTGCTACATGTTTGCATCTCCTAATAGGCCTCAGATTGTAGGAGTTGATCTGATCTGAGCACTTCATTTTTCCAACAGAAATATGAGACTCAAACTCTGACTTTTTCACTGAAGCGATAAAAAAGTCCCTCAAAGCACACAACCCCCCCATCATATTCCTAATTTTTTACTATTATTTTTAATCATTATTGTTAGAATCTCAGGGAAAAAATTAAGCTTTTCAGAATTTCCTTCTGTACTTTCCAAATCTTCACTAACTATGCTTACCAAAAATGGGAGTAGGAAGTGGGGGCATGCTGGGAATAGAAAGAAATCCCCTTGCTTCAGTTTCCTCATATTTACACTTAATAGCCTCAAAATCAATCCAATATTGCTTATAGGTAAGATAGATACATTAATTAAGGCCTGGCCTTAAGGACAAGCAGTTTAAATGGTCTGCCCAAAGACATCCAAGGATTTTGTGGTGGAAGTGAAACTCCTATCTCATGATAATATCCTGTCCATCAGGGCATCCTCACTGCCACAGACAGAAGTTCATATTCTTGCACTCACTTTGTGCAATTACAAATGATTTGGCAAGGTACAAAGCCAAGGAAAACAAACATGTGAATAAGGGTTGGTGTGTATTAAACACTGCAGCATGTAACAACTCTCATCCCTAAGGTACTGTTTGCAAAAGAAGGCAATGATAGAACTCATCTCAAAGACATGAAGTTCTGTGGAAGCTAGAAGATACATTGGGCTCACTATTTTTAGTTTATTAAAGCTATCTATTATGTTTCTTTATTGTGTTTAGCTCTCTAGCATCCTCAGAGAGTTATCACTCTACTCATTGAAAAGAAGGGCAGCATGCTATGACTCCTTTGTCTTTGTGCCAAGCACACACGCTGAACATTTTGTTTCATAGCAGATACCTAATGCAAAGTAGATGTGAAAGGGACAAGCTAATGATGAGCCTGGTACCTTCCCAGGAAACTCCTTCCTGAACTTCAAAGGTAGAAAAAAGATCTAAGCATTACTTGAGGGGGTGTGAGATAGGGGGAAGGCATGGTCTTGAGTTCTTGCCTCTGATTTGAGTTCTTTTCTTTCTTTTAACTATGAAACCCAAAAGCTTAGTCATTGGATATTATTACCCTTCTAGCCGAACAAAGTTACTGTGCTATACGTCTTCCACGGTACATGCTATTTTAAGTCAGGATTATTTTTTTCTACCTGTTTAATTTTGTCTATATATGGAAAAGCAGTTGCAGATAATCACATTTACTTACTCAAGTTTAGTTTCACTATCAATGCAAGATTTTTTTCCTCCTTTCATAAAAGAAATACATTTAGAACTCAAGCAAGACACATTTAAGTAGGTATAATTTTTACTAGATGCTCAGTCACAATCAGAAATTCATCTGCACAAGTTTTGTCACTAAGTCATGTCTCCTGGTGTCCTACCCATCCATTCTACAGACAACTCATGGTCTAATCCATGTATGTTTGAGGTCTGTAATTTTGCCATGTACAGTGGGGTGGAACAAGTGTGACCTCTTCTGGTGCACAGTCAGTCTTGCACTTTGTTCTTGAACTTTATGTTCTGGGCAGAGTCATTTTGAATCCAACACTGAGGTTGAATAAGAACCTTTATACAGTTCCTGAGAGGCTACAGTGAAGAGGAGCTGATTGATGCCTATGTTGAAAAGAAACAGCAGTCTTCATCTCTTTGCGCCTCATTGGGACAATTATTCAGTTTTACTGAATAATGATTAATGATTAACGTAGACACAACACTAAGGATAAATTATAAATAGAGTTGAAATATATGTGCTTTATGGGGATTAAAAGAAAATGTGAAAATGGCAGATCTGTGAATCCTAGCTAAGTAAATTGAATGTGTATTTCCTAACCTCAGTTATGAGAGATTTAAACTTTACTAAGAAGCAGTAAAGTTTAAGATGGTGTTTTCATCCATAATCTGACTAAAAACTGGTTATTACTGGCAACATGAAAAATCGCCATTGCTTTAGAGAACGTTTCTTTTACAGTTCCTAACTCTTCCTTCATGTAATCGTCATTAAAAAAAAAAAAAAAATAGGGGGAAAAAGGTATTTCTTCTTTGGCTGGAGAGCTGCCTGACATTAAGAACACCTCCATTATCTGGGAAGGCCATTTAGTGCCCCAAATGGAAACATATTTTGCCGTACTTGAATTGCCCGAGCAATATTACTTCATGTGTTTTCATGTCTTTGATAGAATTACTTAATATTCAAACGAGTTGAATTGGTTTGGCTTTGTCTGAGGGGTTTTTTTGCCAGGATGTGTATGTAAGCACTCATGCCCTTATAGCACAGCTTCTAACCACTGCCTCTTGCCACTAGCACAGCGATATTGTGCCAGATCAATTAAACGCTTCCTAGGGCCATTTTATCAGTAAATGAGGAGTGAATTTATTTCACCCCCGTCTCAGTCGCTCTCTTGTCTGAGCCTTGGCCCCACCTCCCCTCATGCCGCTTTCCCTCTCCTCGCAGTGCTCTGGGAAAGCAAGTGCAGGTACCCCTCCCTTGCTTTATTTAAATTCGCTTCCTTCTGCCCTGCTTCTGGCCCAGGGAAGCGCATGGGTGAGGCAGGTGGCTCAGCCGCCAGCCTGGCCAGCCCTGCTGCTCCCGGAGGCGGGCGGGAGCGGCCGCTCGCGCTGCATCCCGGTGTTCCTGCCGAGTGCCCCTGTCCGCGCGCGGAGCCGCCTTCCCCGCGCGGGCGGATCGCCTCCATCGCTCCGGCCGCGTTTGGTATGCACGGACCCTGCCGAAGCCGCGCAGGAGGCTACTGCTCTATGCAGGCGGCTGGGCGGCTGCCGCTGCCCCCCCGCGCCCAGCCCAGCCCAGCCCATCCTAACCCAGCTCATCCTAACCCAGCCCAGCCGAGCCCAGTTTCTGCCCTGCGGCATCGCGGGCGGGACGCGCCGAGCGTGGGATGCCCGCGCCCCGGAGGGCGGCTTCCGCGGTAGGCGCTGTCAGCTCTGCGGCGGATCTCCCGCTGGGATTTGCGGACAGTCATGAACCAGACCGAGGCACCCCGGCCACTCAACTGGACCATCCGGAAGCTGTGCCATGCCGCCTTCCTCCCCTCTGTCAGACTCCTTAAGGTACGGTGGGAGCCCGCTTTGCGTTCGAGAGCCGGTGTCTGCCGCTGAGCACCTGCCTGGAGGGCTGCGGTCGCTGTTGCTGGAAAGTTAATTTAGAAATAGTCCCAACTTTACTATTAATTACCTTGCCTACTGCCTTTAAAACCCCTTGTGAGTACCTGAAGGTACCAATATTGTGCATCTGTGTTCTGTTCAGTGTGTGTGTTTGCCCATAAAGGTCTGTGAAAGGGGTAAAAAAGGAAATAAGGGACCGTGCATATCCTCTCTGCTTCAGTTTGCTTTGTCTTATCAAGCTGTGAACTTCTAGGGATGAAGAAGGTGTCTGTTTCTAAGGCGTGTTCCTTTGTGAGCAGTCCTCTGTGAGCAGTATCTGTTCTTTGGGTTACCAAGCCTCTAGGCAGTACCTGAAGATCCAGTACCTCCCTGACCAACTTGTAAGTGGAGCTATATGTGGGTGGAAAAAAATTATCTTGGTTTGCTAAAAGCTGTACATGGGAATAGGATTAGTTAAAGACTGGCAGTGCAGATAGCATCAGTGAAACTTTCTGATTTTTAAAAAAATTTATTTAAACTAAGAGTCACAGCTTTGAAGGTACTTTTAAAAGTGTTTTAAAATGCGCTTTCCTGGGAAATAATTATTTTCTGTTTGAAAAGTGATTTGGGATTATATAATGTGGAGGGCTCTTATTCTCAGCATGCAAAGTGCCATTACTACCATGTGCCCCACTGAAGCCGTTTTAGAGGTATTTGTAGCTGGAAAACAAAACCTCTTGAATCAATTTTTGGTGAAAAATAGGTTACATTAAACTGAAAAAATAGGTTGCATTAACCTGAAAAGTCTTCTTTATTCTTGGAACATCTTAACTGGATTGTACAATGAAATTTTAAACAATATACTAATTTCCCTGTAGGCTTTGTTTTATAAAATGTTTTATTCATTATAATATTTATCTCATTTTATCATAGTGTTTAGTAGTTTGGCTTTGAAATCAACGTGCAGCCAGGTAAAGCATGGCTAGTCTGACAGTGTATTCGATAGTAATGCTTGATATAACCGTTTGATTTTGTGTGAGTAGCTTGGAAATTAGGTCAGTTCTTACTACTGCAACATGCTTGAGCAGTAGTGTAGCATATGACATTGCACTTAGCAGACATATGTTGTATGTATAATTTTTGTCTACATGATTCACAAGTGACTATGCTGTGTATCCTAGCAGGTAGTTTTCACATCCCCATGGGAAGGGGCTGCAGTTGAAAAATATTTCTATTTCCCAACCAGATGTATGGCTGCTGGGGGGGTAAATTGTGAGCATCTCCAAAGAAAAAAAGAAAGATAAAACTTCTTAGATTTCTAAAATATCAAAACATAAGTCACATAGAACAAATCAGAAAGTGGTGTTGATTGTTTTTTCAAAGGCTTTCCCCCCCCAGCCCCAGAAGTACTCATAAGAATATGCAAACTCCACAAGTCCCGTGTTTTAAGCACAACATAATTTTGGTGAGGTGTCAGGACTCGGATGTGGGGAGTTTTACTGTCATTCTTCATACCAGTGGATCAGGGGCTGAGGGGGTGTAGTCTGCAGTATTTCTTCTTTGGCAGACGAATGTTGTCCCATGTGTATGGTTTCTCTTCATTGCTTATTAAGGATGAATGTTGTGATTCATTATTAAAAGAGCTGACTAAAAAGGATTTTCTGAAGCTACAGCTGTAACCCGTTAGGGAAAGATAGTGACTGGACCCTGCAGAGTTAAAAAGAGCAGGGAAAATCACCAGAGATAAGCAAGCTCTGCACAGAGGGTGTGCGAGGTGTGGGAAAGACCACAGCAAAGAAGGTGGAACTCTGGTTCCTCTCTCAGCTCATGAGCAGTGCTTGTTGACTGGAGAGGGAAATGCATACATCAGCAGCATCTTCAAGGCTCCCCCAAAAATGCTTTAATTTTTGCTCCTTCTTTTTGTCTTTTATTATTTAATGTGTTTAAAGCAAATGACTGACATAAGAACAGGGGCCCACTGTCTAAATTCCATCAGCCAGCTTGAGGAAATTCTCCTGTCATCAAGGAAAGAGTGTAATAACAGTAGCATTAAATTACCAGATGAGTAGTATAAATATTTTACTACATACAAAATATTTTTTCCTATTTCATGTTTTTCTTTCCAAAATAAAGAAGAAACTTTTTTTTTTTCCTTTTCTAAATGAAAGGTGCTCCTCTAAATCCAAAAACATTGGAAAGGCAAGTGCAATAATCTAAGCTAATTTTTTAATTGCTCAGTTTCCAATTTGATTAAGTGGTTTTAAGGGCTAAAGCAATATTATTTCTAAGCAAATGTTCACTAGACCCTTTTCTATACAGCTTTTCTCTGCAGACAATGCTCTCAACAACAAAATAAACTTTCCAAAGCCTCATATGTTACGGCACATTTTTATTATGATGTGCCTTGTCCATCATTGTTAAACTCTGTTTCAGTGTACATGGTAAATTTAGTTACAGTAAGAAAATGTAAAGCACTATTTTGTCTTTTTAATTTCTGTACTTATTTTAGTCTACAAGAACAAAACAAAATGACCATTAAGTTCCAAGATAAGCTTTTTTCTAAACTTGTAAGAATGAGAGATAGCAGAGATTTCCTCTTCTACACACACAAAAATTCATTGTGACATTACCTGGACCTTCCTAATAAAGGGAACTTTTCAATTATTTCCATGTCTTTCAATGAAAAGTTTAAAGTTCTTATCCTGTGGATACAATTTTAAATGTAGCATCACTGCTTTCATAGTGATGGATATAAATGAACACTGAAATCAAGAACTTCATGAAGGCAAGGCTTTTTGTGTTGCCCTGCAATTACTGTTTTGTAAATAGGTACTGAAAGGGAGTTATTCAGCAGGTAGGTTAAGCTCTTGTTCCACCCTGTTGAAATGGATGAGCAATGCTCTGTTGCATCAACTGGTGTTGGATAGACCTCTGGCCACAGTGGTCTCATTTAATTTAGATAAGCTAGATCTGTAGATGTGTCCAATTTTGCTCCCTTGGCTTTTTTTTCCAGGCATGTATTCTGTTCTAGCCCACTTCACTAATACCCTCATGTTTAGGTGTAGTAGTGTAATCCTGTTTTCTCAGTTTTTCATTTTCTGGCAGGCGCATAGAGTTCTAGGAGCTGTACCTCCAATACAGCACTAGGAGCTGAAACAATTTATTGCAGAAGTTTTTTACTGCTTGTGTCATCGGCTCATCTTCCACTGCTCCCATTTTTTTCCTCTAATGAGTTACTTCCTGTAGCACATTCCACGCTGGTATTTTTTAGTTGTTTCAATATGCTTAAAACATGCTAACACACTGCCTAATGCCTTCCTGTCTGATGTAAGGACTAAGAAGTGCTTTGAGCACATATGCAGATAGGTTGGCTTTGTGCAGAACTGTTGTTCTCCTGGATAATCAGGTTAGTTTTAAAAAACCCAGACATTTTAGAACAGTGTTCTGAGTTCTTAAAAAATGAATGAATGAATGAATGAATGAATGAATGAATGAATGAATGTCATCATGATAAATACTTCACTCAGAGGGCATTGTGCCCTAGGAGAGGCTGCAGATGTTGTACTTCTGCTTGAAACAGATATAATACTTGCCATGCAATCAAGAAATGGGCAATATGCTCAATAAAAATAAATAAATAAATAAGCTGAGAGTAGAAGAGGTCTGAATAAAAAAGGTTAGCAATGTGCAATGAGTTTTAACACCACAGATTTATAGATGTGCAAGTGTAGAAATACTGTACGAAATATCTGAAAAGTAACAGATTGCACACCCTTTTTTTTCTTATAAGTACAGTACATTTTTTGATAATGAATCTGGCTTGCATGTCAATAATTAGGCTTATAAGACAGGAACTTTGGAAGGACCAGAGGAAAGGAAACAGAGTAAATTAAAAGAAACACTGGAGGAAATGTTTTGGCTATTCTTCCCCAACATAGCTTGGCAAAAATGCCACCTTAGCTCTGCCAAATAAATAAGAAGATTTACCTGACCTGGGTAGTAATCTATGCTAGCTCCTGAACTGGTGGAAGATTAAAGAGATCAGACACTACATTTCTTACAAGATGAAAAACTAGGTCTTCTTTTTATTAATTATTTTTATTTAATTGTCCTACCAAGAATGCACAAGGTAACCCAAGACAAAATTAAAAACATGAAAAATAGCTCATTGGAATGAGACATAGTGTCTTTTGAATGTGACAGTACATAGATAAGAAATTCTGACTGAGCAGATAAAAAGGGTGGAGAATATTTCTCCTGCTACAGCTAGTTTAGTTATGACCATAAAGAAGGTGTCTACACGAATAAAGGCTGGGAAATACCAGGCAGGCTTTATTCAGGTACATCGTGAAATACCACACTGTTCAATGGCTTACATCAATTAAAATTGAACTGCTATTTGATTACCAAATATAATTTTATTTTAGGATAATTTAAAAAAAAATCTGATTTGGCAAATTGGATGAAGAGTATTGCTTCTTCAGAATGGTGGTGGAATGAAGTGTGTTTTTTAATAAACAGTAAATGTTTATATTTCTGAAACCCCTACTGTGAGAAAAAAGTGATTGTAAGAGAGAAGAAAGTTGCATCTTTTGGAGGTAATTTTATTTCTCAAATGGATTTAGGAAATTTTAAAAAAATGGTTATTGGACTGATAGAACAGTCCTGTCTTACAGGAGAAATACTTTTGATAAAGCATTAAAAAATCCTTGAAATGTGGATTTGGGTGCAATAATCATGAGAGGGTCTTCAAAAAGAGAATCATAAGTTTTTTATGTTACTTTACTAACTATTAGTGAGAAAATGGGCAAAAAAATTAAACACAAAGGCAGTCAAAATGCTAAGATCTTTTTACTCTTTGCTACTCTTTTGATATCCAGTTTGCACTGTCTCCTAACTTATGCTTAATAAATAAGAATTTTGATAATTATCTTAATTTACATACCCATGCTTCAAACTGAAAAAAA